GGGGGGGGCTCTTCGACGGGGTATGACCCCGCGACCGCCACCGCCTTCACAAGGCACGGGACCAGCATGGCCTTGGCATTGGCGCGCATCATCCCGTTCTCAAAGAGGGCGGGAGGCGTCCGGCACAGTTCGTACTGCAAGTACTCCTGGAACTTTGCACTACATACTCACTCCTAGGCAGCACACGGTTAAGAACAAGCTGTTGCTCTCGACTGCGGGGTCGGCCTTCTTCTTGCTCGGGGCGGCCAGCAGCTGCGAAAAGGAAATGAGCCGCAACTACTTGGGGATCTTCAGGTCCATGAAGTTCGTGCCAATTAATTTCTCCATGGCCTCGGCTCTATGACCTCGGCTCCTTGAATCGTGGCCCTCTCGCAGTTGACATCTTTGGCACCCCTGACGCCCGTCGATATGCACCGGATGTTCTCGGTGTTGTCGAAAGGGTTGTCTGACTCGAACGAGCTGACCAGGCTCTGCCTGTCCGCCTAGTCCCGCGACAGGCGAGACTCCCGCAGGTCCACATGCTCCTCTGAGGTAACACGCTTGAGGCCACAGTACCCCTCCAGAGTAGTGGTCACCTTGTGCATGGCGGGCATGTTGCCGACCCACTGCCTGAGCCCGCTCTCCGCGGCTCGTCACCACCGCCCCCCGGCTCTTGAAGGCGCACATGATGTCCTGCTCCACCACCATCCGTACACACGCCGGCCTAGTGCTCTGAAGTACGCCTCACCGTGAAGTACCCCTTCCTGGTCGCCGCGGCCAGGTCGCCGTCGAGGTCCTCCGTGGTCTGGACGTGCAGGCGTGTGGACCTGGCATAGAGATGTTGCCCCGCCGCGTAGTTCAGAGGCTCCATGATGGTCACGACGGTGTCCAACCTCCGGTTTTGTCCATCAGGCACATCCATCCATTAAAGCGGCACTGGACACACGTGCGGGGTGATGGTCTAGCTCACCTCACCTGACAACAATTTGACAATGCATCAGTACAAGAAATGCACATTTATTTTACCATCCTTTTCAACAACTTCGTATGCAGAGAAATTTTCTTCAAGACCAATTGTCTCAATAGACACAATGTATAAGGATTTCAAATTTCTCATTGCACATATTTTTTCTATTCGCCCGAACTGTGCCATAGGACTCATCGACACCGTGACAAACACACATATTTGGTCCATATTTCATACCATTAGATTCTAGCCAAGAAATCTCAACAAAATCTTCATTAATTTCTAGAACATTTAACAGTGCCTTCACCCCCCAGCAAAATGGCACATGCAGGTCGTACATAAAATCTCTCTCTCTTAATCCATGATTTGCCAAGAAGCGATAACACAACTGTAACTAATTCTTTATGGCAAACAGTCCGGAGTGGATCCCGCCTGGATGTAGTGGCAGCTGCAACCTCCTTGTTGGGCTTATGTCTGGCTTCATAACAATTACTACTCAGATAGCAAAGAGGCCCACTCTGGTTCATGATTCGGGCATAACGAATCAGATTGTGTAACTAAGGTTTCTGAGTGTCGTTGAATAAATTTTTATACTTCTTATGATGTGAAGCAACAAGAAGGCTGAAACTGTCAATACACTCTGTCTGAATTTTAGGAGCATACAGAAAACTTAAAATATCTCTAACAACAAGATAATACTGCCACACCTCATCTTTTGTACTTATTAAATCACCAATCAACGTTGCAAAAATTAGGCGAAAATTGTGCATTTCTGAGCCGCTTGCTCTGAGACGCTTCTCAGTGTTCAAATCTCTATTTGATATTAGCTGCGGTTTCTAGGTTATGCTATTGTCATAGTAGTTGAACATTCATATACGGTTGCTCAGGATTTTCAAAGACACACTCTTCTATTCGGCCGAATGGCGAGCATCACACACTGACCGATGTTCTGCTGTTTCCGGATCACTTTCGTCTTGTCCACTTCTTTGGTTGTAATGAGCTTTTCTAGAAACAGCTTGAGGAGAGGCGTTGTTGCGCCCTCCGCCTCCGCGGCCAAGTAATTCACCGACAGGTACTCATAATCGGTACAGAAGGCCTTTCGAGCCTCCCCCCGGATCAACTCAGCAAGCTCCATGGCCCTCTCTTTCTCATCTTTCTTGTCCAACTTCTTCTGGTCGCGGTACCAAACGTCTTGGAGGAAGTCGCCCACAAATCCCGTAAAAATTTAGGACATCATCCCTGCCAACGCCTTGAGCAGTTGTGATGCCCTCACCGTAGTGCGCCATAAGTTATGTTTTGAGCCACCTCCTGGAGCAGATATTGCCATTTTTCAATATTATCTTCTAGCTTAATCATGGAGTACTGACACTCGTCCCTAGAGTCGAAAATTGTCTTTGAAGTCTTCAAAACAGAATCACAGTATGTAGTTCGTGAAGAGAACAGTTCCGTCTGCACTTGGTAATAATAGTAACTGTCCTTTTGTCCAGCAACAAAACGACCATAGATGCATCGTCAAGCACAGTCTCTAAACATGTCTTAGCATTTGATATTTCTTCTGCAAAGGCATCTCTTAAGCAATCGAGGCATTTAATTCCAATGCACCTCGCTGCACCCTCTACCATGACAATCACATGATACGAAACCATCAATTGAGCTGCCAACTAACTGGACTTCCGTTATACCAGAACAGGGGTGTTGGGGTTGGTCTTGTAGGCAAGTATTGTCTACTTAGCCCGGGTCCTTGGTTGAAGAAGCGTGTGAGGACGCTGGTGATATTCTCATGATTAAATGGAAGTAACACGGAGTGTGGACGACATTGCATGCAACACAAATCTCCTGTGTCATCTCCTGAAATTAAAAAAATGAAATTAATAGGGGACGTAGAAGGTCCTGTTTTGCCTCAGTCTTTGTGTCACAACAAGAATTATAATATTAAGATGTATGTCTGATTCAGGCTGGTCTCAGGCAGACTGCCCTGTTTAAAACAAACAAAATAGTTCACTTTGTTACTTCAAAGGGAGTGCGTTAAGAAAAACGACCAGTCAAACATGTTACTATATTAATACTTTACCAGCTTTTATCGATGACAATGGTTTTGAAGTCGCCCCGCGCCGCTCCACTTCTTATTCCGACGCCTCTTGAGCCACTATGGAGCCGATTGCAGGCGCTTACAGCATTCTGTGACGTTGTCATCATTTGTGACACAGGAATACTATGTACTCCTGCAACCGTTTTAACGACAAGAGCAGCATAGAACACGGCGTGAGGGTCCTCCCCGTCTCAAACAGGGGGTGCATTAGCGATGAAGCCGCCCCCTCCCCGCCACGCTACTCTCAGAGGGAATGACACTACAACGTAAATATATATTGACGTCTAGATTAAACTCACCTGAAAAAGATTTGGGTCGTCGTGATCAAAAATTTCGCTATTTTGCTGTTTTGTTTCCCTTTTCTGCGCTAAGTAATGAAAACTCTCACACTTGTCCTTGTCATTTTTCCATCTTATTTCGTGGCGAATCTTGTAGAGACATTGGATGCTCCCTGGCTTAGGCAGGCACGGGTTATCATAGTATTCGCAGACGTGCTCGTTGAACACGACGCTTGGATTATCGGTCAACAGTCTCAGTTCAGTCGTTCAAACACTTCTTCATTCCGGTGTGGGCTCGAGTTAACATGGCCATTTATTCGGGCAATTTTCTCGCCTTCGTCTAACTGAGTGTCCGCATCCTCTTGGCCCCCTGCTTGCCAACGACTGTTCTGTGGAAGGCTGTGCAGGGCGAAGTATCGTGGTACTTCAAATGGAAAGCCTGCTTTACTTCATCATTTCAGCGAGTGTCGAATAGATTGTCTTTCTTGGTGCACCCACTGGGCCGATTACCCTTCTAAGCTGGCCCAGTGAAGCATATTTCAAAAAAAAAAATGTCCTTCCTTCGAACCCTGTGAAACAACAAACGTGATCTTACATAATGTAGCACATACCGGGTGCCTAGGCTAAGGCATGACAGTACGTTGGGTTGGCAATATACTGGATGCAGGGTAAACTAGCACTTAAAACTATTTTTCAGAATTTTGAAGGTCTTTAGGTTCAGACTTTACATCGACAAATAGCCTGGCAATATTTCTTAATTTCACCCCACATATTGCAATCTCCTCTTTAAATGACGATGACATCTGTACAAGGACTTTCCTACTTTCAAAATTAGGGGGTCTTTCATAAAAATAGTGGACAATATACCAGGTCGTAAACAACAAATCACATCCCTCCTAAAATCTTCACACATTTCTGCTGTAGCTAGTAGCAGCAGTTGGGACTCTAACTGCACTTGCTTGCGAGTTGTTGTCTCAGATTTCCTATCATTTATTTTACAAGAATACTTCAAATGCTTGGCCAAACTGATCTTCTTCATGAGTATGTAACACCATGGACAAGGACCATAATCTTCAATCATGTTTCGTGTGATTGAAGAAGCAGGTGGTCTTCTAAATACAATAATTGTACCGTTATTTTTATAATTAGCTTCGTTGACAGATGCCAATAAACGCATGTGCAGCATAGACATAAACTGTCTAACTTTAACAGCACGCACCTTTACCTGCTCCTTGTCCTCTTCACTCATGTCTTTCTGACGAATTCCGAACAAATGTTCAGTGTTGTAAATTATCAGGAGGTATGGTTGATGTGTTAGGATACAACTTTTCTCCATTGCTGTGTCAGAACCTTTACACTCAAAATTTTCACCAATCATATTGAATTCGGACAAAACACTTTTTATGTAGTCTTCTTGGTGTAGTGTAGAAGCAGGGTTCCCTCCTTCCACTTTCTGACTATTTTCTTACTAAGACAGTCCTTCACCCCACCTAAATCATTTACCTCAAAATTTGATTGCAACGGCAACACTTGCACTAATCTTACTCGGCTTCTGATAGATCACCATTTAAGAAAGCTGTCTTTTCATTAAGATGATTCATTTGAGTCATCACCGGAACACTTCTCATTTGAGCTCATAACTGTTACTTGTGAGAATGAAGGAATCACCTCTAAACTCTTCCTTACTTCATTGATCTTTAAATTGTCTTTACATGATTTCAACTCCTTGACTGGGAACCTCTCATCAACAAAAGCAACAGTTCTTTCTACAAAGTGTTTTGTTAGGTTAAATCCATTAACTTGAAACCTTTCTTTTCTTGATCATCGCCCATGAGCACAGAAGGTCTGGACCTGCTTCCTAATTTCTTACTTTTCATTCTACTGATATACACACACATAGGCCAGGCATCCAAATACCCGACGATTTTCGACATTTGGTTTAGTGCCTGTCCAAGCACGAAGAGGAGCTTTCCCCTCAACAGATTTAGTTAGGCATAAATTCTTAAGATATACAGCCATTTCAAGTGCAACAGCCCAGTATCTATTGTCTGACTCCTTTAGCAGAGCCCTTCCTGTAGATGTATGCCCGAGCCCTCGTACACATCACCCAAAGCTTTCCAAGCATAAGCTGCACTTGTTGCAGACCTGACGTACCGAATTGCCGAATCCCCAAGATTAGGGCAAATCTTCGACTTTGCTCTGAAGTCCCGCTGGATCGCAGCAGGGTCCGTGGGGTGCGGGTCGGAGGTGAGGCAGTCAGTCAGACCTTCGATGCCGAGTTACATATCGACGCGGAACTTCCAATTTGGTCAGTCTTCAGCACCCTGGAGCGGCGGGATTGGCGGCATAGCCCCAGAGACGACCGTGGTGGTCTGGACCTCCTGGGATCAATCAGCTAAAGTCTGGCTAGTTTGGCGGCGTGTCTCACGTGTGTTCGCCGGTCGACCCGGGTTCCACAAACTAAGTCTACTTCTTTACTTAAAACACAATTCTTCTCACGGATCACTGGCGCAGTAGGTGCGTAGCACTGGAGCTCATAACCTGTTGTAAATTATCAGGTCTTATGGTTGATGTGTTACGAGAAATCAGGAGCGAGTTAAAACATCGAAGGGCACTGTTCTGAGTCCAGGACGCAATTTGTCAAGGTATGTGTTGGTTAAATCACGTTGTTATCTATATTTTGATTTGAAGTTCTTTTTTTAATAAGACCCCCTTCTATTGAAATTATGGTTGTTCTTAACCTACATCTTTATCTGTTTATAGGATGTCAACCACCCAAACTTTGCCAGCGTACAGGACAGCAGTATTCAAGTCGAACTGAACAAGATCGAAGTCTTAAAGTGCGGTGAGTTCACAAAAATATTTACCTGTTTGAGAAAGAATATTAGGAGTTTTGGCCTGTATAATTAGTTGAAGGTGCACAATTTGAAATTATCATTTGAAGTGAAAAGTTTCTTATGAAAGACTGCAGTGAAATGTACTAATTAGCTTTATAACTAAATATTCTTTTCACATGAACTCTTCAAGTTCTGAGAGTTATACGATATTGGATGAGTGGGAAACCAGTACTTGTGCCGTTCTTTAATAATCAAAGTTGGAACAGTAAGAAGTACATAAGAGTTAGATCTTTATAGAAATGTTGTAATTTTAGGATACAATAGCCTCCGATTAGAATAATTTTTTTCAAGGCCCTTTAGTAAAAGCTATATGCTAAGTTTAGTGATAATTTTGCCCTTCCACTTTTGAGTAATACACCTCACCGTTTCTTAAGTAGTTCAAAAATATTTCACATGCACTTTCTAATAGAAATGATGCAGAACATCTCTCCTACAAGTTATGCAATATATCCTCCTGAATTCACATTGCTTACTTGGAAACAGTTAAATTATAATCATTCAATTCATACCGCAAACATTAGGTAAGATACATTCAATCTCTTTTCAAACACCCAATGTACCTAGAAATGTTTTACTCACTCTAAAATTGCATAAAATCCTTACTAAAGAATGTATTGAAATGAATCTACAGCTACATGTAATTGGATTTCACAAACAATAACATTATGTAAAACTTGTTCTTAACCACCAGTAACAGTTTAAAAAAAATACTTGAAAGCTGTTGCCTGTTTTAGAAGCTTGCGCACAAGATTCCTTCGACAAATATTGGTCTAAAGATCTGTCATAAGGTTTTCTCGAATCAAAACCACAAGGACTATAGAACGACTCAGGGGTTTTGGTGTACTACCTAAAATAAAAATATTTCATTAGCAATGTAACGAAATTGAATTTAAGAGTGTTTAGTTAATTGTAAAATAAAATAATACAAGATTGTTTTAGATAGTATACTAAAACCCCTTTGTCATTTTATATTTCTTCTGGTACGGATTATGGAAAACTTAACTGCAGGTTTTTAAACCAATATTTGTCAAAGGAATCTTGCGTGCAAGCTTCTAAAATAGACAGCAGGTTTCCTGTAGGTTCAGGCTGGCAAGACCATGAAAAGGGGCCGAAAGTACATTCTGATGTTGTTCCTTTGTTTAATGAGATGCAGTGAAACAAAATTCACTCACACATTGGTAATGGTCGTAACACTAAGCTCCCCCCCCCCTTCCACTCTCCCCCCCTCCAGAAAAAAGAAATTGAGAAAATGCCAAAATAGTGAACTTAAGTTATAAAACCCCCCTTAAGAAACGGTAAAGTTTATTACTCAAAAGTGTCAATAATTACCAAAATTGGCACTTACTTTGTGCTTCAAATTAATTGCTAAGCATTATAAGTTCACTAATTTATTGTTCCCCTTTTTTCACAGCTATGCCCTCAACTTCATCAAGCTCAACACCGCCGGTGCCGCCCCCCTCCTCCCCTCCGCCACCGTCGTGACCCCCACGCCAAGGTTCCGAACGCTGCTGCTGTCGCTGCCGTCCCCAGTGCCACCACCGTCGCGGTGCCACCCGCGGGTAACAGCGGAACTGACTGGCTGTCCTCAGCCAACAGAATTGCGCTGCCCCTTTCGGCCCCCGGAGCCCACAAGGCGGGCTCGAGCATGAATCCAGTGGGAGGCTCGACACATAACTAAACATCACAGCCAAAATGCGATTCCCACAAAATATTGCACCTGGGGGAGCCATAAAAAAATTATCGCACTAAATAGGCATTCGTCATTGCATTGAGTGCGATAATTTCAGCATATTTTTCTGCGATAATTTATCATTGCAGCAAAATATGTTAAGATTATCGCATTCAATGCAATGACA